CATAGACATTGTCTGGTCCATGCTCATGTGTACAGTGATAACCATATACATGGTTCCCTTCCGAGCAGTTGTGGTTTCATTAGCTACGGTGACGTCTAGAATAGGAAGTTGTAAGGTTAAGTTGATTTGTCATGGCTTTGCAGGTACATATCAAATTAGTTGAAAACTAACTTGAATTGGTTGATAAAAGTACTCGTAGGGCTTATATTTTCAGGGAGTATATTGAAGCAGGAAATGACATGAAGATCAATAATACAAGGATGTAGCACGGGGATTTGTTGCCTTCCTTCTTGGTTTTGGTGGAGCAAGGAAGAGCAATAAGCAGCGCTCTCCACAGCCACGGATTCGACTGCCCAGGTGCTACATCAGATCTCAGTTTTCCTTGTGTCTGTCACATATGACCTCTGGACTTAATTTAGTTTGGTTTCTCCAACTACTGTAGGAGATGGCAAAGTGGAATGCCAGGTACAGGGAGAAGTTTGGCTTCGTGTTTATGATTTTGCGCCTCTGGGAGGACTGCACCTGAGCCTGGCTGAGCTCATCTTTTTGAACCATGTCTAAATTTTTTTCTACATACCATGCTTATCTATCTGTTAGATCTAATATTCTTACGTGAAACCAAAATGGAAGCGGTTGCATACGGCGACCAAACCATGAGGTTCGACCGTTTGCTTCGTGTAGGAGAATGTTATGACTTCATGAGAGTTGGCTTCACGCCTACTCATGTTGGTTCTTTGAGCTACATCTTCCGTTTATGTGCCGACTACTTTGTGGTTCTATCTCTACAAAGTATGGCTAATGCACCACTGAGAGAGCTATGGATTTGTCAGTGTCCCCGTACCTTTATAGAATTCGATGATGTATACGCTCAAGCTGAGTACTTTTTTATAGGTATATCTCATACGCCTATATTTAAAAATACATAGCTAACTGTTCATGCTCCTATTCCATCAATAACTATCGTTTGTGTTTGTAGATATCATTGGTATAGTTGTGCATGTGTCTAATATTAGAGGAAGGGATGACGTGCGGATGCGTCCGTACAGATATGTGGTGCTGATGAATGAAAGGTACTTAGATTGAAAATTTTATCATTGCTCGATGCTATCAATTTTTTATTGTTCGATGCTAATCAATTTTGTAACTCGTAGGTACCACTGCATCATAATAACCGTCAAGTATACACACATATGCCGTCACTTATCGGAATGACGGCGAACCGCATCAGAGTTGCGCATTTTGCTGGTCTCCATATACAAATGAATAGAAAGAGAGGTATTGTATCACTGATGTATTGACTAAATAAAGTATCAGTTATTACATTTTTTTGCTCGTGCATGATAGGCGGAGTGACCACTACTGACGATTTCAGCGAATTGGTATTCAGTCCTATTTGTAATCAGGCGCATGATTTTTAAAGTGAGGTTCTTTTGGGGTAATTCATTGATTTAATTTATTGACTACAACACTGACCCAAAAGTTTTTTATTTATTTATAGGCCTACGTAATCTTCTGCTTATTGATGAAGCCAGACGTCGCCGAGTTCAAGAATTTGCTAAGGACACCGTGTCGCGTCTCATAGATTTAGAGAACTAAATAATATTGAAATTATTTACACGCTTGTAACATGCACTTTGAATAGATGATGGACATGCATTTAGTTTAATATAATAGTCATTTTATGCATTTTTATTGGTCAAACAGATTCAAAATACGTGGATTGAGCAATGTTTGTCGACATATCGATAGGCACCAATATTGACATATATACTCGAGCCTGTGTACATGATGGTATGGAGATACGGCAGAACTTATTCGTGAATTTATTGGTGCACGAAAGAAATGGATATCGGAGATTTCTTCCTGCCGATATAAAACATTATCTTAAGCGTATTACGAAAAGTTCTATAAAGTAGAGTTTGTAAGCATGTGACGTCGCGCACTCCGTGACTGTTAATTTCATAAACTATGCTTTTTTATTAACTGTCACTTTAAGGTTGGTATTTAATTTTTATAACATCGTTATCTTATCGTGCGATTCGTGTGTTTTTAGTATAAAATGTTAGCTATCCCGTAGCAATACACGGGTACGGTACCTAATATTAATTTATACATCTACCTTTAAGGTAGTTTGCATGTCCTATGGGAGGGGAATAAAATTCAGTGGACCCTGGTCCAAACCTGCTTCCGTACGACTCAGCATGGATGGGTGCCGCGTGCCGTTTTTTTTAAAAAAAAAATTCAAATGCCACGGTGTCTCCCCAGCACCAGGTGGTCACACGTTCGTGGATACGTGGAGTTTCTGAGTATTATAAGATTTAGTTGCTCCATCCACCTTGAGCCATGCGATTTCCTCCCATGACACGTCAAGTTGCAGAAGGGGCGGGTTGTTAACGTAGCCCGCCCGCTCGTTCCGCAAAATTTGGCTTCGTGGCTGTTGTGGACCGGCTGTAATTTTTTCGTGGCCCAAAGACTTCCAACCCTCCAAGCCCGTTGGACGAGCGAGAAGCCTCGCAACAACCCGCAAGATCCGCAACACCCTCCTCTGCTCTTGTCATTACGTGCAACAACACCAGCAAAATCACCATGGCACAGAGTCGGTTCCTTTCCAAATCCATTAATATGATCCCCATCGACGAATTCGTCCCCAACATTCCAAAACAAACAGGCCGCCTCAATGAGAAGAGCTTGGAATGCAGAAATCAAACTCAATAGCTCCACCAGAGGAAGGCGGCATTACATCCCAACCAAAAAAAACATATGAGCAAAACAAATCAATCGCCTACACTACACAAGTCTCGCTAATCCGCGATAGAAGCAATCAAATCCCCAGGCCCAGCCGCCCAGCTATGAACTAACCCGAGAACGCAGGCCCCAGCGCAAGCAGCCGCGTACAAGCAAGCGCATGCCAGGGAAGAGCAGAAGCAATCTGTGGAAGACGAGGATGAGCAGCGGCGTACCTCGTCGACCGGGCGCGGATCGGTGTGCTGGCTCTCTCGGGTGTGTGGGCGGGGTGCGCGCACGGCGGCTCTCTTCGTCTTGGCCACGGGGGTCTGCTGTTGCTTAAGGAGAGGGGCAAGGGGAAGGAGCAGGAGGCTTCGGCGGCTAATTTTGCTTCTTATACGGCAGTGGCCAACGAATCATTACGTTCTCATATGGCAGTGGCTTGACATCGACATTGTTCTCATTAAGATTGCACGAGGGACTGTACTGTACGTCTTGTGGGTCTTGCGGGTTTTGCATACAAATTTGTTGTGTCCGCGAAACACTTGTCCGCAAGATTCGCAGCTTTGTGGCAAGCCGCAAGCCCGCTAATAAACTTTGCGGCAAGCGAGGCGGGTTAGCGGCCGGCCGCGAACGAGCCCGCCTGCAAGTTGACACGTATAAGACATCAGGACTAGTAAGTGTGACGATTTGGACCTAGGGTCCACTGAATCTTATTCCGTGGGGGAGCTCTGCTCCCACGTTTTCCACTAACTAGACCTGTTTTTTTGCTGGCCCAAGCACGGCCCCGCTCGGTGGCCAACAGGCCTGGGCTGGCACAGTCCGAGGGAGCATGTGTGTCTAGGCCTTACCATAGGCACGACGTGCCAACACGGCCCAGCCCGGTCCGCTAAGAGGCCCACACCCCCACCCCCAAACCCTAAAGGCCTACTAAACTCTCTTCCCCTCTACCCGCGCACGCGCAGCCCCTTCCCATGCCGCACTCACTCCTCTCACCTCTGCGTCGCGATGCCCCCTCCCCTTCCCTCGCGTCGGGCGAGGCCGCGAGGCAAGCGCAGATGGGGACGCCTCCTCCCCTTCCCTGTTCCCTCTCGCAGCACGACAGACGAGCGTCTCCTCCCTCTCCTCGCGCAACCTCCTCGCAGCGACGATGGTAGACCCGATGCCCCTCCCTCTCGTCAAGCGACGCCGTTAGGAACTGACATCGGTCGTCGCGGGAGCGAGCGCGCCGGCCCCGTGCTCCACCCCGACGCCAGATCCTGTGTCAAGGGCCCCAAGGGCAAGGTCGTCGACGACCATTGCCATCTCCGGCCGCTCGTTCTTCCTCCCCTTCCCCCTCTCTCTGGCTGCTCGCGCTTCCTCATGGGCCTCGGGCTGACCCGGCACAGTGGACTGGACATGCTTCTCGGGCCGGGCTGGCCCGAAAAACGGCCCAGCAGCCGTGCCTAGGCCATCGTCAAGGCACAACACCCGGCTCGGCACGGCGTGCCGTGTGCCGGCCCAACCCCCTTCGGGCCGCGCCTGGCATGGGCCTGTGCTGGGCCGGGCCGACCCGTTGCTCATCTATAGCAGTTGCTACATCTCCTCAATTGATCATTAGAGAATATACGAATATTCTTAACAGGAAGAACGCCCAGAACCCACTACACTCACCAGCCGCCACGACCCGACCGGGAGGCATGAGTGGAGTGTCACGATACTAGCAAGAACTGGATAGAATCGGGGTAGGGTAGCAAGGAATTTAGGGTAAAAGGGGAAGAACAGCAGGGACAGGCAAAGAACAGCAGACCAGAGAGGGGAATTGGGGAAATTCTGTTATTCAATTCGTTAACCATCTCAGGTTTATAGGATGGCCTTTGATACCGCCAGCCAACACAACACTTCACTTCACTGGGCCGAGCCCCTACTCCTACTTGGACCAAACCCAGGCACTAAGCCCATCACTTCACTTGATATATACTAGACGAACGCGCGCTTCAGCCACTCTTCTTTACAGCAACCACAGCTATCCTTCTCATGGCACGGAGCCACCCAGGACGCGAGCATCCCCCTGACCACCGCACCACTCCCCTAGACCCTAGTGCTGCCCCTGCTCGGCAGCGTGACCGCGGGCGAATGCACGGACGAAAAGGACCGTCAGGATTCCGAGGAGGGTGTACGACACGAAAACGAGCGCCGCCGAGTCCAAGTCGCGCCGGGTGTCGTAGGCATCGAGCGCCGTGTTGCACGTCAGCACGGCGAAACCCACATTAGCAAGCACGCAATACTGCCCGTCCATGTTGACTGTGCCGCTGCCGCGCGCCGCCTTCTCCAGCGCGGACGTGATCGGCGTCGCGGAGGCAGAGCAAGACCAGGGCGCCGAGGGCCAGCGGCATGACCGTCGGCGCTACCCCGGACGCGAACATGGCTATGAGCAGCGCTGTGAGTGCTCACACGGCGGCCTTGGTCTTGGCATCCCTGCCCATGCCGACGCCCTGCTCGAACTCACGGAGGCAGAGGAAGAGCAGTACGAGCGCGGCATCCACGGCGAGCACGGACGTGACGGAGGCGGCGGCGCCCCAGGAGTTGTAGATGGCGAGCACCGAATTGAAGGTCAGGGCGCCTAAACCTAGCTTGGTCAGGGTAGAATATTGCCGGTCGGCCATGTGAAATGCGGAGTAAATCGCACTGATTGGCACTAGTAGTGTCCTTGAGCTCCTTAGCTTGGATTGGAGCGAGTTTGATTCGAGAAGGGCGATCTCTACGACAATTTATAGGGAGAAGATGAAGTGTGTGCAATGCCCAGTGCAGAACACTGTGTATAAAAAAGGAAGAGGAAAATTCACGGGCGGTCTTTTAAGTTGGCAAGGGTGCCATCTAGGTCCCTCTACTTTCAAAATACCAATTCTGGGTTCATAAGCTTGGCTTCAGGTGTCATTCAGGTCCAAACGGGTTTAAACCTACTCTGGATGCTGACATGGCGCGCCGGTGTGGCTCCTACATGTGGGGCCCACATGTCAGTGGGTTATATTTCTGTTTATTTTATTTCTTGCTGATGGGCACGCTGACTTTTTCAAAAAATAATTCATAATTTCTTCATATAAACTCGGATGAAGACAAGCTTTATATCAAAATTGTAGCCCTCGACAAGATTTACAACTTTGTAGTTGAAAAGTTATTGAATTGAAAATATTTAGGGTCCCAAAATATTGTTGTAAGTGCATAGATTTTGAAATTTTGAAATTCAAAATTATTCAACAATCTCAGATGTTGATATGGTGTATATGAAAGTTATAGTTCTAAATACGATCTAAAAATTTGTAGTGGAAATGTTTTTTATTTGAAGTTGTTTAGTGTTCCAAATATGTGTTCTAAGTTTATAGATTTTGAAAATAAGAAACTTAGAACATATATTTGGGATACTAAACGAGTTCATTAGACCAATAGAAAAAAAAACTTTTGGTGTATATGAAGAATCATTATGTGGTGGAGAGCATGGCAGAATGATTCTTCTGTCTAGCGCATAATGATCTAATTATTGATTTAGCCTTTTATGCTCTCCACCACGTAATGATTCTTCTATGGCTAGCGCATTACTCTAGTTGGTCGCTTGACTAGATAATTGGTTTCAAACAAGGCAGAGGCTCAAAAATTAAGCAGTCAACTAATAGAGCCATAAGCTTAGAGAAAATAGCAAAATGATAATTTAAATAAATAAAGGTTAAGACTCTAATCTAAACAATAAAATACTAGCAGTAGGAACAAATAAGATCCAGATAACTCTAAATAGAGCACCGATAGGAAAGATATATTAGAAAAAAAATAGTACCGACTTGTATCTATCTAATTTAAAATAAATTAATTAGTTTTAAATTTTTACAGATTTAACGGATGCTTTTATTAATTTAGGTTTAGAAAATACATATATTGGCAAACCACCACTGAAACCTCACTAGAAGGAACAGTGCGTAGAAACCCTCGGCCACCGTGGAACCGGCCATCAAGCAGACAGCAGTCGAGACGGGCCACGGCAAGAGCGCCGAGACCCGCCACGGCGCCGCCGCCAGGTGAACATGGCCGTGAGCAGCATCGTGTTGAGCCACACGCGGGGACGAACCCACGGCCGGTGATCACTGAATGGAGCAGACAACAGAGAGACACAAATCGAATTTATTGCAGGGGAACTAACGAAACAAGCAGTTCCGGCGGCACAACACACACGAGGAAACCGACGATTCTGATTGATAGGCAATGCAACAAATACGGATTCAGACAACACGACGAAACCGACGATTCTGGAAGAACGCCCAGAACCCAGCAATACGTACCCACACCAGCACCGCAGCACGCCACGGCCGGGAGGCATGGGCGGAGCCCACCCAGGACGCCAACATCGCCGCGAGCCTGGGCGAATGCACGGACAAAAAGACCCATCAGGACCACAAGGACGACGTAGGACACGACCACGAACGCCGCCGAGCCCGGGTCGCGCCGGGCGTCGTAGGAGTCGAGCGCCGCGGTGCACGTCAGCACGGCGAGGCCCACTGTGGCCAGCGCGGAGTATTGCTCGCCCATGTTGATCCTGGCGCCGCCTTCCCCGCCGCGGACCTGATCGATCTCGCGGAGGCAGAGGAAGACGAGGACGCCGACAGCCAGCGGCATGATCGGCGCCACCCTCCAGGCGAACATGGCCGTGAGCAGCGTCGTCAGCGCCCACACCGTGGCCATCTCGAACTCACGGAGGCGGAGGACGAGCAGCAAGAGCGCGGCGACCGCGACGAGCACGAAGGCGACGGAGCCGGCGTCGTCCCAGCAGTTGTAGATGGCCAGCGCCGAGTTCAAGATCAGGGCGCCGAAGCCTAGCTTCGTGAGGGTGGAATACTGCTATCTTGGCGCCGTGAGCGACGTCGTCGTGAGCCAGACGCCGATCTTGGCGCGGCCCCTGGCCGCCGGCGAGCCAGGCGGAGCGGTCTCGAAGAGGCGCAGGAAGTAGAAGAGCAGGACGAGGCTGGCGTACGACGCGATGACGAAGATCGTCGCGGCAGCGTCTCCCCAAGACCTGTGGATCGCGAGTATCGAGTTCGCTGTGAGGAGAATGAACCCTAGAGCTGTGGCCATCAGTGGCGCCATGTCGACGATACTATCCTAGGTACGATGAAGGAACAATTGTTCCCGATGGAGGAGCAGGCTGCGTACGTGCTTATTATATAGGATAATAATGGGAGATATACGTAGCTAAGGTACATAGAGGAGATTACTACCTAACAAGCAGGCCGGCCGGAGAACGGGTTATTAATTTTCCCTTTTTATATCTCTAGTCTAGTATATAAAAAGTTACTTTTGTTGATTCTTTTTAGTTGTTGTATTGGAAGAATGTTCCGAAGAGGAATGATATGATGGAGGTGCTGGAGGTCGTTCCCGGTAGCTTGTGCTCACGCTTCCTGGGCAATAATGCAAGTGCAGCGCAACAACGCGCTCATGCAATTTCCGCCCTTTTTTCATACACACGCGACGCGCATGCACTACGTATACGTCACGCACCCTTGTGTCCGTCTTCGATCGAGTTCAACTGTTGAAGCAACAAATGAAGTGAACATGCTTGCTCGTCAGATTATGCAAAGTTTATTTCACGCGAGGGTGGGCCTGGATTCCTCGTTCATCGTGAACGCGGCTAAATAAGGTTTTTGTGGAGTCTTGTGCTCATTACTCAATTATATGGCCGTTTATTTCGTCAGATTATGCTTGCTCTTTCGGTGACTTAGTCTAATTGTGCCGGACTGACATTGACAACTTCTCGTTGTTTTTCAGTAGGTACCGCAATGGACGGCAGTGAGCTTCCACTGAAAAAGTCAAGGACAAACGAGCCGGACCGCCAACGTCTGTTTTTGCAGGTAACTGGTACCTTCCTCTGGTGTCAAAAGTGAACATGCTGACGACGCCGGCTCCGTGGCGTTCGTGCTCGCCGCGGACGACGCGCTCGTGCTGCTCTTCCTCTGCCTCCGTGAGTTTGAGCGGGGCGGCAGGGGCAGGGATGCCAAGATCAAGGCCGCCGTGTGGGCGCTCACCACGCTGCTCACGGCCATGTTCGCCTCGAGGGTGGCGCCGCTCATGCCGCCGCCAGTGGCCGCGGTGGTCTGGCTCTTGGCCGTCGCCACGGCCGCAGGAGGGTTCTGGGCGTTTTTCCTTAATTGATGCTTTTGCGAGTCGATGTCAATCTGCGTCTCGCTGACGGGCGTGTTCATTTTTTTTTTTTGTGCTTCCTGCACTTTCTTGTATTGTTTCCCAGTTCGTCACTTTGAATAAAATCTGCTTCGAGTTTGCGCTGCTGGCAGAGAGTGGTCCTCTGCTTCTACCCCGTTGACCACCGCTCGTAGTCGCCTCAGCGTGTGCTTGATTTGAGACATGGTAGGACGGAACGTCTTGTCCCTGATTTTTTAGGTGGACAAACCTGTTCTGCGTTTGGTTGAGATATTTTTCGTTTATTCGGTAGAATATGGCCGTGATTCATGGTGCTGAGCTTTGGTCACGTCGACAGCCACGTAATTCGTAGCCTCCAACCTCATGACGTCGAGACGTGTTACCCCGGTCATGTAGGGCATGGCGTTGAGAAAATGATCCAAAATTGAATTTACGTCGTCCAGTGGTGTAAATGTGAATTTTGAAAAAAAAGGGCCAAATTGCAACAAAAAAATCGGCGGAATAGGGGGTATATTCCACTCGAAAATGGTCGTGTCCCTAACAGTCCTCCAACCATCTCTCGGCTCGTTTGAGGTTGCTTCCTTGCCGGATCTACGACTGCGGCCATCAAAGGCGCATCGACGACTCCTCTCGCTTGTCTGCTCCGCGCATCCTTCCTGCTTCCTCCATCTTCGTCTTCATCTTTGGTCACCGCTCGCCGGATCCGGTCACGTTTTGGCCATCTATAGCCTCTTCTCTCCCCTCTGACCGTCTCTTCCCCGGCTCGCTCCCTCCACCGTCCTTCTCTTCGTCAGATCCGTCCCCCAAAACCTAGTCTCTCCATCCTCTTCTCGTAGATCTGTGGATCTCGGTCTTCAACGGCAACTTCGGTGCTCCGGTTGAGCAGGTAAGCCACACTCCTAACGCTAACCGTAACCCTAACTTTGTGTAGCTTGTTCTAACTTCTATCGTTTTGCAGGCCGCAGGCTTCTTGCTTAGCTGCGGTAGCCGCCGTTGAGGGACCAGAGTGCCCGCGATGGCCGATGGCGACGATCCCACCTCCACCAATTACGAGTTGAGGATGATGGGGCTTCGAGGTGATGACGAAGACGACTTGGAGGACGGGCGCGCGGAGCCGTTCGGCACTGCAGCCACTCCGATCGAGGTTGGCGCAGACGAGCCGGCGGCGGCGGCGCCGCATTCTGAGCACGGCGCTGCTCCTGGAGCTGCTCCTGAGCACGGCGCTGCTCCTGGCACCGCACCGTCTGGCTCTAGCGCCAGCAACAAATGCACCAGGTCTGAGATATGGGATGATTTTGAGGAGTTGTTTGAGCTCCGCAATGGATCTCAAGTTAGAGTCAATGCTAAGTGCAATTACTGAAAAAAAAAACTTTGACTGCTCGTTCTAGTGCTGGTACTGGTCATTTGATTAGGCATATCAAATCATGCAAACCGAGAAAGCTTGGCAGTAATGCCATGTCTCAGTCCCTGCTTAGGTTTAATCCTGATGGTTCTGTCCATCACTGGGAATACAGCCCTGAGTTTGCTAGAACACAGTTGTGCAGGTTGATTGCTAGAGAGGATCTTCTAGTTTGTTTTGGTGAATCTGCTGCTTTTGAGGAGTACATTAAACTTGCTCATAACCCTAGGTTTTTTCCTGTCTCTCGGCAAACCACCACCAGAGACTTTGTTAAGTACTTTAATGAACGTCGTAGCAAACTCCTTGAATCTTTGAAGTCTGTTAGTTCTGTTGCTTTGACATCTGATATATGGTCTAGTAATGCTAAAGAAGACTACTTAAGTATTGTTGCTCACTATGTTAACTCTGACTGGCAATTAGAGAAGAGGATTTTGGGTCTAAGGTTGATTGATGTGTCACACAATCATGAGAACATTGCTGAACGTGTGCTTATTTGTATTGATGAATATGGCTTAACTGATAAGGTTTTCTCCATTACATTAGACAATGCTTCTACAAACACTAAAGCAATGGAGATTCTTGCTCCTGCATTGTCTGGTTATGTTGATGAACTGTTTTTGCATCAGCGCTGTGCTTGTCATATCATTAACTTAATTGTTAAAGCTGGGCTAGAAGTCTTCAAGCCCATGCTGCATGCTTTTAGAACTGCAATTTCATTTATGAATTCCTCTAATCTGCGCATTGCATCATACAAAAATTTCTACGTTGCTAAAGATGTCCGCCCTCGTAAGTTTGGCTTGGACATGGATGTTAGATAGAATGCAACCTATCTAATGCTAAAGCATCTGATAGAACACAGGGCCCCTTTTTCAGTGTGGATCACTGCAAACCATCCTTTGGTTGATGGCCAGCCGTTGTTAAAAGAGAATGACTGGAAAGCTGCTGAAAAACTTCTCCTATTCCTTGAACAGTTTTATGATTCTACTGTTGTGCTGTCTGGTGTTTATTATCCAACATCTCCACTAATTATGTATCATGTTCTTGAGATTGCTGGACATTTAAATACTACTTATGAAAGAGAGAGGGACCTGAGAAATGTTTGGTGGCACTCCAGGTGGTGGACTTGGTGTTGGTGCCAGCCTAGCTAGTGGACTTGGTACTGGTGCCAGTCTAGCTGCTACTAGACTTGGTGCTGATGCTAGTCTACCTCCTGGACTTGGTGGTGGTGCATCTTCATCCACTAGGAGGCCATCAGCATGTGCTTTGCTGCAGGCAGCACACTCTGGTGCTAACCTGAATGCTTCTGAGTTGGCTGCATACCTTGACAGTGACACTGTCAACTAATATGACGACGACTTCAATATCCTCAACTGGTGGCATGAGCACAAACTATCATATCTTGTTCTTTCCATCTTAGCCGGAGATGTTTTGACTGTGCCTGTTTCTACTATATCTTCAGAATCTGCATTTAGTCTAACTGGCAGGATCATCGAGGAACGGCGACGGCGTCTAACTTCAGACATGGTGGAGATGTCGTTGGTGAAGGACTGGGAGCAAGCAGATACAAAGACTCAACATACCATGGAGAATGTGGAGCTAGTGGAGGCATTTGAGAACTTGTATCTTGATGATGAGAATGTGTAATGCTGTGGCATGTGGGCTTGTACTCTTTTCCTTTCCTTTCTGGATGACTGTAAGACTTACTGAACTTATGAACACTTATTAAAGATGTGGGCTGTACTCTTTTCCTTTCTGGGGTTTTCTCACGAGGTGTGAGTTTTTACCCAGAAAGGTTTTTAATGAGGCAGCCATTGCACTAAGCAGCTAATATATCAGTTATTTATGTTTACATTCATGTTACTTGTGATCTGTGAAAGATGTTTACTTGTTGAAAGATAACCGAGAACTTGTTGAAAGATGTAACTGAGAACTTGTTGAAACTTGTTTACTTGTAATATGTAAAAAATTCTGAGCTGAACATGTTTTTTTGAGTCTGAGGGTGTCGGGCCTTGGACTGGTACGGGCACGCTGGGCCAGTCGGGCCATTGGGCTGGCACGGCACGGCACGAGGCCTTTAGGGCCGTCAGTGCTGCCCGTGGGCCGGCATGGCACAGCCCGATGCATTTGGTGGGCCGTGCCGGCCCGATGACCTTCGGGCCGTGCCGGGCCAGGCCGGGCGGCCCGAATGGCCATCTATACACGCGACGCGCATGCGCTACGTACACGTCACGCACCCTTGTGTCCGTCTTAGATCGAGTTCAACTGTTGAAGCAACAAATGAAGTGAACATGCTGACGACGTACTAGTACGCATGACTGCCGCGATGATCGTTAGCGCTGCGTGCCGTGCCTGCTTAATTCCGAGGTGGTATACGTTTATATCAGTGCTCTGTCAGATGTTTGGAGCTACGTACTCCTACATGTCAGGGATTGAGGTGAATAATCATCCAAGGCCAGTTGTTTCCTCTACATAACAACTGGCCTTCGAGTTCGAGATTTATGTGCATTGTTGGACCAGGACCGCCAACAGGCCGGGGGTCGGGTAGTCAGGTCACGAGACGTACGACAGCGACAGTCGTCTTCCAAGTCGTTGTCGACGTATATCTCGAACCCTAATCCTGCGCGCCGTTTTAGGGGGCGTTTAATTTCTCCTCCTTAGTCGTTGTCCTATCGAATATTTGACACATTCATGGAGTATTAAATATAGAACAATTATGAAAGTAATTGCACAGTTTGCGACTAATTTGCGAGACGAATGTTTTAAGCCTAATTAGTCAATGATTTGACAATATGGTGCTACAGTAAACATGTGATAATGACGGATTAATTAGGTTTAATAAATTCGTCTCGTGGAGTACTGACGGATTCTATAATTTGTTTTTTTATTAGTATCCGAACAGACCATACGACATCTGTTTTTTATTAGTATCCGAACAGACCATACGATATCTTTACATAACACTTCCTAAATTTTAGTCACTGGATCCAAACACCCCCTTCTTCCTAGAAGAGATTCCAGAAAACAGCTCTGCACACACTACCTGCCGTCGCACCGCGTATATATGTACCGTACGTGGCCGTGGGCCGGCCGGCCTTCGTGGAATCTGGAGGTCCATCTCCTTACAACATGCATCCCTGGAAATTGCGGATCCATCGTACATGCATCTTGAATCACATGCATTTCACAAGCAAACCGTACGTGGGCGTGGGCCGGCCGGCCTTCGTCACCTTGACTCGATCGATCCTATGGTCGAGACCTATGGGCGCCGAATTAATGAAACCGAGTGAATCCACTGACTAATAAGATGATAACTTCGAAGCCAACATATTAAGTTTTTATGAAATCACATCCATTCTCTTATATTATATAGATTACGGTCATCTCCGTCACTGAAACTCCCAATTACATCCCCACATAAATTATCTGTAATATAAAAGAGCGAAGGAATTAATAATAGTTTTTCACCTAAAATACTTACCCACCTTTAATATAAACCCTTAGATAACAGAGTATCCTTAAATCTAACGCTTCATATCAATCTAGCGGTGGGCCACCTACCATCTTACATCTTACGTGTTCCTGCCATGGAAAAAGC